GCTTGAAAAAAAAAAAAAAGAACAGAAGACTCAGGTGTAGGTTCTGTCTCTGCCATTAGCTTGTCTCCTGCACTTCGCCACTTAGTGTCTCTAAACCTCAGTTCCAGGGGGGTGGAGGTCTGAGACGGAGTGCTTTCTCAGCAAGCACGAGGCTTGTGTTAGATCTCTAGCACTGCAAACAAAATACTCTATGCCTAGCCTTATTTTTTGTATCCATAAAATAGCATTCATTTTATCTGACCTCCTTGTTATGAAATGCATTATATGTTACAGAATGTATTTTTATTTTTTTCAGATAATGCTATATTTGGATAAAGTACATCTTCAGAGACACACAAATACATTCTTCGATCTTCCAATGTCTGTGTGAATTATTTGGAAATATTAATTACAAAGGAAACTAAACAAATTAACCAGGCCATAAATTGCTTGAGTCATACAAAACATGAATCTTCATTCATTCTATTCCATCCTTTAGAGTTCAATGTTCTGAGTATTTGAGAAGCTTTGAATTATTACAGACACTTTCAAAGGTGAATTAAAGTTTATAGTATCCCCTCTTCTAAATGTGTAAGTATTAGTTTACTTTTTTTCCTGTGAATCAGAGGAACGTGTTGGCCAATCATAACTGTCAGGCTGAGCTCCAGCAGCTCTATGTTAATACCTCTAGTTGGTCAATCACATTATTTGTCAGAACCATAATTCTGATGATTTAAATATCTGCATACTTGGCTGGCAAAATAAGATGTCCATAGTTAAGAGCTTTTTGCTATATTTCTTTGCCTTTCTCTAAAATGAGCTTAAAATCCTTTTGTGGTTAAATCCCATTTGGCTACAGCACCTTGGTCTCACTGCTTCTTGGATGCAAGAATTTCAAATTTCAACTTGGCTCAGGTTCTTTTGGTAGCTAATTACATGTTCTATAGGCTGAGTAAAGTGCTGCCTGGTCTAGGACCAGGGGCTTCTAGGAATTTGTCTATACACTAGTAAAATATTAACCTTTATTTAATTACTCTCTGCCCTTTTAGAAAGCTAAGATCCAGAAAGTCAACACATTCTGGTATAGGAAAAGATCTGGCCTACAACCCTGCCTCAGCCATGTTGGCCCTTTGGTATCCTTGGATAAGAAGAGAAGTAGCCAGGCCTAGAGCTGATCTTTGACTTCCCAAAAGACAAATGTCTAATTTCAAGGACAGTGAAGGATTGGCCTGCCACCATTTCATGGGCAGTGACAGAGATGAGACTCCTGGTCCCATCCAGCAGTGTGAGTCCTCCTCTTCTCCCCACCACCTCCAGACATCCAAACACACAGGCTTTGCCCCACAGCTAAGCATCCCTGTGTTTATGAAACCCAACTTCTTCCTGGAAGAAAGTATCTATTACCCCTGCCAGACAGCATGCTGTCCTCAGCCCAGATGGAACTCTACCCCTACTCCAGATAGAAAGTTTGGAAGGAATGCCCCAGCACCTCTGTTCCCTAAAGAGGCAGAAACACGACGGACCAGGGAGAAGTGTATCATTGCTGATGCAGCCCTCCTCAGGTGACCTAATGTGGTTTTATTTTGGGTGACAAGCACCCCCGAGATGACAGTCGGGTTGTATGCCATGACCTACCTTCCTTGCCTCCTCTTCTCTAAGCCCAGCCTATTTCCTCCCGGGCACTTCTGGCTTTGTGGGACCACTTGTGGTCTTGGAACTTGTCTTTTGTTCTTACATCTCATTTACCTGACTTTGACCTAAGCTCCTCCAAGGAGATGCCTTCCCCTGAGACCTTCAACCCTGCCACTGCATGTTTCTACTCTGTCCCCTGGGTACCCCACAATAGACTCAGGACCAAAACAGAAACTCCCAAGTCACAAAACAATATTTGGACTTTGATCCCACCTGCAAAGGCAGGAAGTCCAGCCACCCTCTCCCCCTTCCAGGAATGTCTGGTATCCGTCAGGGCACAGGTTCCCTCAGTAAACACTGGGTGACCAGCTTTCCTCCTTTTTTGTCTTGACTTCCGGTCAGGCCTATGCTGGCCCTGGAGGCTTCCTGAGGCACCCTGGTCCCCAGGAAAGGCATCAGTCCCCTCTGCCTGATTGTTGCTGCAGCCATAACCTGCTCCCCAAGAGGTTCCTGCAGGTCCTGGAGTCCTTTCCTGTCACTGTTCTGTGTTGGAGGACAGCCTGGCAGAGTCAGAAGGCAGGCAGCATCCATTCAGCCTGTGGCCATCTACAGGGAGAGGTGCCTGGCTTTTCTTTTGGGTCTTTCCAGAGCACTTTCTCAATAGTAGTTTTTTTGTCTGATGAAAGAAGTCTTTTGGATCATTAATTCTGGAGATCATTTCCATAAAATCTCACTCGCATCTTTATTTTTGTCATTAGTTTTAGGATCAGGATGCGTAGTGTCCCCATGACACACATCTCATCTCTTTGGGTCACAGCAGACAGCATGGGATCACCATTCACAAGTCACACTGCGGAAATGTGAAAGGAAATCTTTACATAATTATGCTTGAAAATAACCTAAATATTTTGTCCCCAAGCACAAAAGATTGTTCATAGCTTCCCAGTTTTTCTGCTTCTAAAGCCTGGGACTGCTTTATCATTTCTCTAAAATGTATTCTTTGTTGAAATACTGTTTATTTTGTTTGTTTTTGGCAGAACCAGGGATTGAACTCAGGCACTTGTGCTTGCCAGGCAAGTGCTTATTCTACCGAGCCGTCTCCCCGGCCCCTTTGAAGTACTCTTTAAAGCAGATCCTATCTCCTTGACCCATGTGATTGTCTTGTTACTTTCCCTATTGCTGAGACAAAAATACCTGGCACCCAAAGTTAAAGGAGGAAATTGATTTAGCTTATAGCTTGTAGAGGTTTCGGTCCATAATCTGCTGGCTCCAAAGCGGACAGGCATAGCAGGGGAGAACCAGCTCATCCCAGGCAGAAGTAGCACAGCAACAAGGGGTGACCACAGCTTTTTCTGCCCTTCATATCTCACCCAGGTTCCTCGGGGCAGGTAGCACTCACACAGTGCCTTAGTTCTATAGTGCCTTTGAGCTGAGCACTGCACCATGCGTCAGTCTCAGTATCAATCTAGACCCAGCCACCTCTCAAAGAGCCCCACCTATGAGCAAATGAGGCTTTCGGGGGGACATCTAGACACAGCCACAACAGTGACTTTTCTCCCTTGCAGTGCTTTCTCTGGCAGTGCGTTTTCAGCAGTCTAGCAAATGTCTCTTCGATGATAGCGCTGCGTTCACAAGCCTGTGGGGGTGGTGGTGGGGGTGGGTGACACTCCATGACCAGAGAGGAACTGTGGGAAATGGGGTGGATGCAGAGCTCTTATGAACTGTAGGGACCAGGGGAAAGATTCCCATTTTGTACAGGCTTGTGGGATACCTTTTCACAGGCTTGATCTTTTACTGGATTCCAAATGTGTTTTGTTGTTTTTTTTTTCTAGCCAATTAATTCATGGTTTTTCTTGCAAGACCCTGTTACAATTTCTATCTAGAGGTCCCCACAAAGCCTCATGTAGTCATAGGGCAGGCTTCTTGATTTTGTGATTGATTATGCTGGGATTATGGGTGAGGGTGCTACACCCATCCTAGGGCAAGCAGCCTGCATACAATATAAGGGAGAAGCCTGCTCTCTGCGGATCCTCCCTTTTGGCTCTTGTTGATTTTGCTGTATTCCTCCACCATGAATCGCTGCCATCTGCCATGTCTACTCTGCCTTGGAGGCAACCAAGTGGGGACTGAAATCTCTACAGTAAGCCAAATAAACTCTTCCTTCCTTTATTTTGGGTGGTAGATATTTTGTCTCAGCAATAAAAGCAACCAAGACAGATCCCAACAAGAGACCTTTTTAAATGGGAGGACTATTATGTAGGCAATGAACTGTGGCTCCTGAAGGACACAGAAGCATCACAGGGACTAAGGTAAGGCAAAGCCTGGCAAATTCAATGTGCTACTTCTTCATCCTGACATTCGGAAGATCAGAGAACTAGCCTCAAAGAAATACAAAGGAACAAAAAGGGGAAGACATCACAAAATACAAAAGGTAGGAATGAAAGAAGAGAGTCAGGACCAACCATTGACTGACTATAGCAACTGAAGAGTTTTTAGTTTCAAGAAACAGAAATCAGCTTAGTCTAATTTAAGCAACGGGGAATTTACTAAATACAGCTTATTACATTTACAAGAAGGCCAGAAAACCAAGTTGGCCGACTCTGGAGTTACCAAACAATGCCTACACGTAGGCCTCATGGCTGGGGGTGGCTGAAGACTGGTGCCTGGGCTGGGGAGAGAGCTCAACAGAATAAGTGCCTGCCTGGCAAGTGCAAGGTCCTGAGTTCAATCCCCGGTACCACAAACAACAAAAACCCTGGTGCCCCTGCAGCCCCTGAACAGTGCCACTTCCACTCACCATGTCAGCCTCAACCTGCAAGCAGTTTCTTTATGTTTCTGGCTTCTTATTCATGAGAGGTTTCAGCCCAACTACAAACTGCTAAATTATCATGGCCCTGATTCAATATGGCTGAATCCCCAAAAAAGGCAGTTTATCTTCCCAGTGACCACTTCTTCCTTCTTCCCCACCTCAGTTGTGGACACCTTTCCCACGCACACAAGGCAGCCCCCAGTCTGCGCCTTGCGTGTCACTGAACCTCCCCTGAAGTCCCACTCCTATCAAAAGTGCATAAAATCTCAGCCTTCCTGTCTCAAGTCAAAAGATCTCCCCATCTCCCTGTGATCAGTCCTCTCCGTGTCCTCCTTCATGGCAATAAAGGCCTTTCCATCCCTTTCTTCTAATACTGCTTCTGTGCTGCCCCCCAAAACCCAAGCAGTTCAACCTCTGGAGCTGGGGCTCCTGACTGTGAGAATGTCAGGCTTGGATGTGGCGTGGGTGTGACAAAGCTGGGAAAGCAAGTGTTTGGCATTTTCCAGTTCCAGAGTAGAAGATGAGCTCTCTGTCAAATGCAAGGAGATCCTCAAATACAGGAAAAGAGAATGAAAAAGTGAGACACGTTTATGGTAGTGTATTCTTTAGGCTGTCTCCCAGCTGTCACGCATCCTTGGTGGCATAAGGGAGTCTTTCTGAAGACCAAACTTCAGGTATTGCAAACCCAGAACTTGGAATTGGGAGACAATATTGCTGTGAGTTTGAGTTCACCCTGGGATTCACTGGGGTACATGGTGAGCTCAGGCCACCTTGAACTGCAGTGGAACCCTGTCTCAAAAGGTAAGAAAAATTGCAAATAATTTATTTCCCAGTTGGGCAGTTTACTAAATACTGAGAGCCATGCATAGCACAAAAGAGCAAACAGTGTTGAGATTAAGTCTTGTGTCCAGGACTTTTCTGGTGTAGTGTTTCTGAGGCTCAAGCAATGTAAGTAAATTATATAAATTCTCAGAGCTGACACGTGATGCGTCCACAGTTATAATCCCCTGACTTCCATCCCGTACCCAGTCCCAAATATCCCACTGCCTACATTAGCAGCAAAACAGTAAAATAAACTCTTAGTTGCATGATAAATAAAGAGCTGACATTATTTTTTTCCTCTGACATGAACAGTACAATTTCAAGCCAATTCCTTCAGTAAGGAATGTCACCATAGGTTGTGCAGAGTGGACTGGCTTGTGCCTGTCAGCCAAGCAGGGAGTATATACGGAATGATTTGTTTTCAAGCCAAGAGAGTATTCCTATGGCTCAATATGATAAAATATCTGAATGGTATTCAGGACACTTATAGACAAAAGGAGAAAGTATGTATCTCAAAAAATGGTG